CCTATGATGGTCTCTGGGAATGCGGCCGCGAACGAGAGCTGTGCAGACTGTCTATGAACTCGCGCGAACTGAGCCTGGAGCGAACTGTTCTCCTTGTCCTTTTATATCTACTGCGCATTCCCGTTTCCGTTCGCGGCGGCTTTGAAGAGGCCAGCGGGGACAGTTGTGCTCGACCTGAAGTCAAGTTGCAAGCTTGGCGACGCCCCATGGGTGAAGTCCAACGGTATTGGGGCCGTTTCGTTCGAGCCGTGGGATAACGAGATGTTCTGGCACCGGCATGTCAATCCTGGCCATATCTGCCTCTTCTGTCCCAGGGCTGAGTGGCATCAAGGATGGCAACAAGGGATGGTTCCGCCGGACCTGAATGTGTCCGCCTCAGGATTGAGCGGTGTATCGAGCCGCTGTTCAGGCGACGGGTTATTGGACGGGAACTTGAACGAAGTCATGTTATCCACGTCCTGTTCTTGATCAACAGGGGCATTGTCTTCTTCGGAATCAGAAGCGATACTGAAACGTTGTCGCTTTTCTCGGCCTTGTGTTTTGAACGGTGTTAATTCCGCTGTTGGCTGCTCTTGGATGAGAGGCTGGGGCCCGGGGAAGGCAACATGCGGCACTCCTGCTGGTGGCTTGAATGTGAATGCGCCAGGCTTGAACTCGGGGGCAGCGGTATGTATTCAAGCCAAAGAACGCTTGAACTCCATCGCAGTAGGGTTCAGCGGATTCCCCAATGAAGGCAGCCGAGAGTGTGTGATCAACGGCGCTTTCGGAGGAGCGGGCGCGCCAAAGACAAGTGGCGAAACAGAAGCGGCAAAGACAAACGGCTTTACGTGCAGGTTTAAGGCGTAGGACTGTAGGTTGTCGGAAAGACGAGAATGCGCTTGGGCGGGATCGTGTGTTGTGAAGTTGCCCGAAGTGTCGCTCGAGAATGTGGCGGGAGAGAAAGACCTTGAGATGGTCGACGAGCAGGTGAGCTGGTGTAGTATTGATGCATCGCCTCTTCCTCGCTTGGATTGAAAATCATGTTGTCCTCGAGACGTCGAATGATTGTATCGTCAGGCGGACGAGGGAAGTGAGGAACCCGTCTCGGTTGGTCAGCCAATCTCATGTCCCGTCGTTGTAAACGCCGTTCAACCCGCTCTTGCCGAGCCCGCTCCTCATCTGAGGGGTTCGAAAAGTCGCTCAAACTCTATAAGAATGGTCAGAAAAAGATTCAGGTTCTATCGGACACTGACCTCGTCCTCAGAAGACTCTGCAACCTGATGCTGATGACCACTGTCGTCAGAACCTGTCCGTCCATTCGTCCACGTCAACCTCCTGGTCTAATTCCATATCCTGTGACTCATCTCCAGATGCAATTGGCTCTGCATCATGCCCAAAATGCCGCCAACGGACTGCAGCGATAGCGCCGCCGAAAGCCTTGAAACATGGCGCGAATGATGAGCGGTTTGTACACCATCATCGCCGTCTTCGTCGTCAGTTTCTTCTGCCTGATCGTTGGTGACAAAGCTGTCCTCCTCCTCCGTTTCGTCTTCCTCTTCGGTAGCATCCAACCTGAACCCGCGCATGAAATCGGGTCTACTGTCCCTGCTTTCTGGTCGAGAAGTAGCTCGAGGTGCCGTAAGTGACGACATGGACATTGGAACTCGTCCTTGTGGTGCGTGAATTTGCGCAAGAGGCACATCGTCGTCGGAGTCGCTTAATGGGTGTTGGTCCGCCGGCTCCCTCCGAAGGGCTCAAAAAGGATAATGAGCGGGGATGCGTGCTCACTTCCAGCCTGTTGCCATTGTAAGGGCGGGGCAGCAATCCCCTTGGGCCAATCACGTCGTCTAGAGCTGATTTGGAGCTGGGCTTGCATGTTGACTCAGCTAAATCGTTCTTGCTGCCATCGACCCGCTTTTGCCTCCGAATTGAGTGCCCATGCCTAAACCCATCCGGATACCGAACTTGCACATAGTGCAGAAAACACGCTCGCGCCGCAAACTTTGGAGGCGCGGATCTGCTCTTAACATGAACAGGAGAAGTAGGAACCATACGTCCCAACGAGAAAGAGGGTTGGAGAGTTGAGCGAAGAATGTGTGCATGACCGCAAGCGGGCTAGGAGGTGATCTCCGCCCCATGAATTATTGGGAACGCACTCGGCGCTTGAGTAATCAGCTACAGAAGAGTTTGAGGCGGTGTGCGCAAGCGGGGAGCAGCATAGAACGATGTGGTGTGTTGTTCCGGGAAAAAATAGTACACCGATAGCGATTGGTCGTTCTTCACATCTGGCATCAACGCCGGCAAAGAAGAGGGGTATGTCGAGCCAGGTATACAGCCAGGATTGGGAGCGACACTGCCGCTCATACCATGGTAAAGGCTGACAAGTTTAATTCAAAACATCGTTCTGTGAAATGAACACAACATACGTCCTGTTGCTTGCGCTTCCGATAAAGCTGCTTGTAGAAAGGGTAGACGGCGTGGTCGTTGGACGCAAATATCACGTTATTTCCCATGTGTTGCGCTTTCGCTCCTCGGGAGTTTGATAAATAGGATACGGCGGGTCATGAGCATCAGGCGCAGGCATATCTGGAGAGCCGGACGATCTTCTTCCGTCAGAAAGTCGAAAGTTTTTGCTACGTTCTCCAGGAGAGCACCTTCGTCAATGAATGGCGATAGCGCAACACCTTGCCACGCCATCCTCTTGCCATTCATATCGATCTGAACTCCTCGGGGTAGAAATCGACAGATGGAACATTTTCCTTGTTTTGGGCCCCCCTCAGCGGCGAAAGTGGGTTGGTCATCAACTCATGGAAAACAGCGGGTAGTTGTCTACAACTATATTACGGTCAATAGTTTCCTCTCTCGTCTGACGGGGGCTTACCGCTGCGGCAGGGAAGGAGCCCATACGCTGCTCGAAAGGCTTAAAGGGATGGCCAATATTGAAGCTAATTCCCATATCTTTGACATCAACGAAATCGGCCGCAAATGGGGCAAAATGATATGGAAAGAACGATCGCCAGGACGGAGTCTTGTTGATAATGAGAGAGCGGTGCAGCTGAAAACGAAGCAAAACTTACGCCCTGATAACAATAGTGGAGTACCCAGCACAATCCCTCGATTTAAGCTTTCATAATCCTGTGTTTTTCAAGTAAGTATACAATCAACCAAGACGGCGCCAATTATACCTTGTCTTCAGATTGGAATCCCCAACGTCATCTGGGAATTTTTGGGTATGATATCTTTCGAGGTAACCTGGCTCCCAAAGTCTGTGAAATACTTCAGTCCAAGTTCCAGGAATGACGGGAGAAATCTACTTGATGGTGTCTTGATCGACAGTGGTTGATTCAGGGGCGACATGACAAAGCGAACGGTCCCAGGCCGGGAACCCTTTTATCTTCGGGCTCAGTTGTGGGGGGGATAGGGATAGGAATAGGAATGACATCTATGACAAGCTTTGAGAGACGGATTAGGCTTGACAGGCACTGCTCCAGCGAGCTCGGCTTGTCTCAGCAGCACTCATATTAACCATGATGTTGTCGTCATTCGAATGGCTAAGGGCTTGGGCGGAGGAGCATTTTGGGCAACAGCCTAAGTTGTAGCGCATCAGCATTGGTAGCAAAATTAGGGTGAGCAGGCAGAGGATGATGAACAGGAGTAGGGGCAGTGGGTAGAGCAGTGAGGGGCAATGAAGATGATGGCTTGATTCTCTTTCGACTATCTGCTCCCAACTTGCGTCGCTTTGCATTTTCGTCTTGACGAGTCTCGGCTATAGGGACATCTTAACAAAAAACAAAAAATGCGGAAACAGGACCACTCACTTTCACGCCAGATGTCATCTTCCCTTTGAGCAAGTCCTTCGAGAATGATGAATGATTTGTGTGGTCCAAAAATGCCCATGGTTGGTGATATAGCTGCCCATTCTAGGAAGTTCTTGCTTCCAAATCCTCAAAGGCGTGTCCAGGGCGCCTTCACGAATCTCAAGAGAAAGGAGATGGGGGAGGAAGTCGTTGCCGAGAAAGAATATGAACTTGTTCGAAGTTGAGGGAAATAGATTTCTGGGACGTCGAAACTTCAAGAAACTTTCGGAGAATTGCAATGTCGAGGAAAATCAATGTTTTTTTGTGTCGGGGCCTTCTTTATTTGCTCTACGGGCTCGGGGCTGCATAGTGTCCCTCTTGCCCATATTTGTGATAGGCCGTGCTGTTAGCGTCCGTGAATACGTCCTCACGCAACACCCAAAAGTTCGGCTCGTGGGTGGTTATGCCGAGCATGATAAGATCCGCATCCTAGTCTTGTGCATTAACATGAATGCTGGAAAAGTCAGTGAGCCACATACCAGTCCATATATAACGTGCTTTGTGTTGGAGTTGTAGCAGGATTGATGCATTGTCGTCTCCTCAAACCGAATAAGGCGTTCATCTCGTCGACGTAAGAGTACAAACTCGCCGCCGCTGGAGGATGAGGACTTGCGGCGCAACCGTGACAAACCACGTGGGTTCGCTCTTGGTTCGTCCAACGACAACCACTGGAGGGTCGCACTCAGGACGTTGTTTGCTGGAAGACGTGACCATGATGTCACGGATATGTGTGATATGTGACTCTAGCTTGCCGAACTGCCGGTTTCATCAATAGCATCAATCAATTTGATTTGACGCCTTTTTGTTCTTACATCAAGGTTCGATAGCATGGTCGCGGGCGCATCACCAGCCATCTGCACACAAGAAACCCATTGAGGATATTCACGCCGGGACTGTTCAAAGAATTGCGCCTTCACGAACACCACGGAGAACGAGATTTTCCTTCATGAATCTACTTTCAACGCCTCGGATGCCCGATAAAATTTGCTGCGCCTCTCTCACCGACCCTTCCGTTCTCGACACCGAGAAGGATCTCTCTATATTCATCCCCAACAAAGAGAAAGGCTGCTGGTCATTCACGACACGGGTGTTGGTTGGACCAAGGCTGACGTGGTGAACGATCTCGGTACCATCGCCAACTTGAAGTCTGGCACAAAAGGCTTCATGGAAGCCTTCTCTTCTGGCGCCAACATCTCCATGATTGGTCCATTCGGTGTCGGTTTCTACTCTGCCTGCCTCAAAATGCGTGCAGTGGTTTCCAAACACAACAATGACGAGCAATACATTTTGGGAGTCTGCCGCTGGTGGTACCTTCACTATTACCCTCGACACCGTCAACCCCCCAGACGTGGTTCTGAAATCCGTCTGTACCTGAAGGAGGACCAACTCGAGTACCTCGAGGAGAAGAAGATCAAGGAGATTGTCGCGAAACATTCCGAGTTCATTTCTTACCCAATCAAACTCGCTGTCACGAAGGAGGTCGAGAAGGTTAGTAGTCTTTTTTTCCCTCTCCTACATCTGTTCTAACGTGATCTATAGGAAGTTGAGGATGACAAGGAGGAGGCTGATACCGACAAGCCCAAGATCGAGGCGGTCGAGGATGAAGACGCTGCGCTGAAAGACAATAAGAAGAAAGTTAAGGAGCAAGAGACCACTACCGAGGAGCTCAACAAAGCCAAGCCTGTCTGGACTCGCAACCCGTCAGAAATCACGACTGAAGAGTACGGGTCGTTCTACAAGAGCTTGACCAACAATTGAGAGGATCATCTTGCTGTCAAGCACTTCTCCGTGGAAGGTCAACTCGAATTCAAGGCCATCCTCTTCATTCCCAAGCGGTAAGCCGTTATTCAATCTGTTGCTTCCCTGTGTTGATCATGTTCAAGTTCAGGGCGCCGTTCGACCTCTTCGAGCCCAAGAAGAAGCGCAACAACATCGTTCGCCGTGTCTTCATCATGGTCGACTGCGAGGACCTTATTCCCGAATACCTTAACTTCGTCAAGGGCATCGTCGACTCGGAGGATCTGCCCCTCAACATCTCCCGTTGCAGCAGAACAAGATCCTCAAGGCCATTCCCAAGAACATCGTGAAAAAGTGCATGGAGGTCCTGGCTGAAATTGCGGAGGACAAGGACAACTTCACCAAATTCTACGACGCTTTCGGCAAGAACCTCAAGCTCGGTATCCACGAAGATGCCCAAAACCGAAGCAAACTCGCCGAGTTCCTGCATTTCTTCTCGACCAAGTTGTCCGAGGAGCAGACCTCGCTCAAAGGTATATTTTCCTTTCTTGCTTATGAATTCATCTAATAATCTTTCCAGAATATATTACCCGCATACCCGAAATCCAAAATCCATCTACTACCTTACCAGCGAATCTTTGGCGGCCACCCGTCACTCACCATTCCTTGAGAGAGAAGGGCTTCGAAGTTCTGCTGCTCGTCGACCCCATTGACGAGTACGCCATCACACAACTGAAGGAGTTCGATGGCAAGAAGTTCATCTGTGTGTCGAAGGAGGGTCTGGAGCTTGAGGAGACGGAGGAGGAGATGGCGACACGTGATGCAACCCCATCGTCAAGGAGCTCAAGCGTAAGGGGCGATAAGTCTATTGGCGACTTGACCTATCTGCTCCTCGAGACGGCGCTGCTCACTTTTGGCTTTGCTCTCGATGATTTCGCCAAGCGCAGCCACCGAATGATTGCGTTAGTTTTCCTATTCCATGTTTTTACTGCTCTAACATGTTACAAACAGACTTGGTCTCGATGTTGACGAGGAAGAGGAGCAGCAGACGACAGAAATGTTCACCGCCATCGACGACTGCCGCCACAGAAGCTACAAAAGGGTCTTGAGAGTGCTTTGCGGAGTTTACATCTACTACGACGTGACTACATCTGCTGCATTTGTTTTTGATTCCTCTACACACAAACTTCCCGAAATGCGCCTCGGAATTGTACCAGGTAGTGATGACTGCTCATTAGAGTCTCCGAAGCGATAATCGTCAGCGTCCACGAAGCTGCGGCGGCGGCGTGACTTCCTCCTCCTCCCGCGCTTCCACGTTCACCAACTTCTCCCTCCCCAACCAGATGGATTCCACGCCGGTTCAGACTCACTGCTTTTGACTCAACTTGAACTTGTAAGCTGTGCCAAGGCATTGACTGGCAATTACACGAAACTATCTGTGCATCCGGTTGGAGATATTTCTCGAATGCCGCCTTGACGGACGTCTGGCCAGCGACGATTGCGTTGAGTTTATTTGCTTCGATGGGAAAAGATTAAAGGGTTATATCAGCAGCGGTCCGGATCCGTATTCAGCGACAACTGACTCGATGAACTCGGCCTTGACTGAGTACATACAGAAATCAGCTGACCGCGAGACGGCATGGCCATCACGGTCTGTGAGGACGACGACTCCGGGTACACCTATGGTAGATGAGGTGGAGCCCCCCCCGTCCAAACATGGCCTCATACCATCATATTCTTGCTTGAGCGCCTCGTACTTTAACGGCAAGTCGCAGACATGGATTCTTGTAGCAAATCAGCTTGCTGAAAACAGCCCAAGCAGCGATTAACTTGGTACAGCCGCCTTGAGAGATATATTTCGTGTACATGCGGTCCATTGCACTCATCCCAATGATCCCGATTGTCAGTTGCGGGTCAGTCGACGACGACATGCTGGCAGGAGGGAAAGAAGTGCGAACACGGTCACGTGGAGATGATTCATTTTCCGGCACAGTTTACATACTACACCAATATTACTCGAGTGTAGTCTAAATGGCCGAATTACTGATGATAGACTATATGTTTTAAACGAGCGTGGTAATGGCTGGTACTACAAGGATGCGATGCGAGAACTAAAAAAACACAATGAAGGCAACACGCAAAGGGCTCACAGAGCCCTTTTGATGGGCGCAGCGGACTTGGCGGACACAATCGTGCCGTCCTGGTAACAAGTTCGTCAACACATCGGGGAATTAGTCACGGTCAGATAAACTCACCGAACTGAATGCGCTCCGGTCATAAATGTCTCCATTGGCGTCAGTGAACGACGCCCTCCTCGTGCTTCGGTGTAACGACTGGATGTAAAAATGCGAGTCCGCATTGCCTTCGGTTTCCTCGCACTCTGGTTGCTGGCGCGACCAAGCCAAGCTGGTAAATCGATGATGTTGTTGACCATCGAATGGCCGTGGAGCTGAGCGGGGCACCATCAACGGGAGTAGTAAAATTATCTCGCAGACACGCACCACAAACAGCGAGTCGCTTCAAGAAGCTCAACGGCGGTATTTGACGATCCGCATCAGACCACGGTTCCTCACGGGCCGGCCACAAGTCGCGAATATCCGCTCGTCAGGGGATAGCAACGTTGGTCGTAGATGAGGTCAAACTCGCCTTCCAATGGTTCGCTCCCCGGCCAGCACTTTGCACCCCGCGAGCGAATAGTGGGTTGGAAAAGGACGGGATCTAGCTGACGCAGTTCGCGTTCTAGTCGTTCTAGTAGCATGATCTTCAACTTCATCGGTGGGCCAGCAGAAGCAATCCAGCACTCGGTAGTTGGATCCTAGACAAAAGGAGAAGCGACTTCGATATAGTGAGTACCATTCTCCCAGTAAATGGAGGCGTCGTAACCGACTTCCGCCTCGTTGAGTGAGCTGAACTGCCGCCTGGGTTTGACGAAGGTAACGGTCTCCTCATGGAGGCTGAACGCGGGCAAAACATGGTGTTGTTATTGCCGTTTTGAGAGTTTCCACCCGCAAGTGAGGTAGAAGGTGCAGGAATTCCCGTGTTGAGCAGCTCAGATGAGTGGAAAGAGTGTGTTACTGAGTTGCTGATAGCTGTGATGAACAAATCGCACTGTTCAGGTGCAGTACAATGGGGAGGACGTCGTCGGGGAGCGGTATTGACCTGAGCCTGAGGCTGACAGGTACAGTGACCCTAGAGAGATGACAGCCTCAGGCTGAGGATTAAAACTAGTTCATGGTGAGTAAGCGCAGAGCGAGGAGAGCGAAACTCAACTCCTTCGCGTGGCTGCCACTCATACTGGACCTTCTTCCTCCTCAAAGCGCAGCAAGTCGTGTCACATCACGTGTCAGCTCAGTGACGGCTTCATCTTGGACTGCGACTTCAAGAACTTGACTGCGTCTGCCTGCAAACCTCACATACCCAATGTGCGGGTCTCGGTCAACCCTTCAAGGATGGGTCAGCAGGTAAGAGGTAATAAGGCATGCCCTTTACCTAACCCTACAGGGTCCGTTTGCCCACATTTAGCCAAACGTTGCAGAACGCATGCATCTCTCTATCCCCTTCTTTCACAGCAGCCGTCATGAGTCGCCCAAAGCCTCTTGAGCGCTATGTGACAACAGACGGCGAGGATGCCCCCCCAAGTTACCAGAAGCATCGCTGAATGCATGGACCTCGCTTACAATTGCCGCGATCGGTTGGCCAAGAAAACGCGTAACAAGAACTTTGGTAAAGCAAACCCAGTCCCAGTAGAGGCGCTTCTGAAGCGTCTGGTGGAACAAGAGGCGCCTATGGACACAATGTGAGTCCTAGAGCTCTCTTTCCTATTTGCTAATTGCTTTCCTAGCCCTTCAATGGAAGCGCTTTGGTCTCGTTCTGATATAGGTACGCAACCACTTATGGCTCTCATTATAACATCTCAAAGGCACTAGAGTGCCCCAAATGCAAAGTTCTCATCTCTCCAATGAGTGAGATCATCAAGGCTCTGGTCGAAACCACTCATTCTCAGTCCAATGATTCAACAATCGCTCAACAAATCTGTCAACGCCATCTTACGGAAAAGGAGCTGGCCCCCATTGCCGCTAGTAATGGCTATCCGGTTGACCTGGCGCCGGCCACGCTCTATACCATCCTCTCGACAAACGGAGAAGCTTTTCTGAAACAAACTGCTACCAAATGCTTCGGAAATAACGGAAATTCAAACCCTTCAACGTCCTATGGGTAGTAAGCCAACTTTTTTTGGTCATTTTCTCTTCCTTTGCTTATTTATCCCCAAGTTTTGGGCCAGGGGGGTCTGAACTTGTGCGACGTTTTCTCAAAACCGTATATCCAAGCCTAGACCAATGGGACGATACTACCGCCCAGGATGGTTTCATGTTCGAGGTTCTGGCTTTCCTCGTCAAGCATCAACTCAAACTACCCACAATGGACGAGGCTCGACAGATCTTAGAGGACCCAAAGGCTGTTGATTATGGGTCAAGAATGTTTACCTTAGAGGACGTTTCAGTCTTGTGGGAGATGAGCTTGTTCAGCAATGCCGATTTGTTCAGCAATTCCGATGGAGAGGGAGAAGGGAGGGGAGGAGGAGGAGGAGGAGGAGAAGGAGGGAATTGACAGCGAGTAAACTGAGTCAACGTTGTGTAGACAGGTCAAGACCAACCTCGTCCTTTCACGATGTCTGACTTGAATGACACAACCTGTGCCTGTACAACGCAGTACTTGCTTGGTTTTTTCAATCATTTACTAATAATTACTAATAACCCTAAGTTCACTCAGGGCCCAGTAGAAACCGCGGACCCCCCTCTGCTGCCCATTGCGCCTCCGCCGCTCGCATCTGCCATCGCGCCCTTAGCTGCCTTGGTCCAGAGGAACAAGCGCGCCGAGTCGGGAGAAGGCTGCGTTGATGGTTTCCCCAAAGTCCACCCTTCCAGTGCCGCCGTTTTTTCTGGCTTCCGCCACCGTATCAAAGCCCAGCAATGGGCCGGTGCTCATTGTTGCTTGATTGAAAAAAACCATGCTCCCACGCCCTCTTTGATCCCCTTCCACCAATGGGCGAGAGTTTTGTGGGGTGGGTCGCAGGTTGCCCTCCGTAGTAACAAACTGTATTTCTACGCCTTGTCAATAAGTTTGTTAAAGGGCTTGGCTTCACGCACTGTCCACGTCGATGTTAAAGTGCCAAAACAGGGCGGATGGGTAAACGGCAAGCGTCCATGGGGGCAGCTGGACTATGAGGCCGTCTTCCCAAATCACAAGCCAGGTCCTAACGTCGTTGTTGAATTCAACTATGGGCTAGTTAGCAAAGAAGAGGGGAGGGGGAGAAAAACCGACAGTTCTTCAAAACGTAGATAAACAGGACGCATACCCCAATTTGGTTCTTGCTATCGGCGTGGGGGCCACAGGAGATGCGCTCTTGGCCTGGAAACCAAGCGTTCAAGCAAAAGCACCAGAATAAGCCAAATAGCGGCTTAATACCGTGCTTTGCGCTCATGCCATTTGGCCTCCCGTTGAAAACGCTGCGCAACCCCTGGAAAGACCTTGGTAACCACATCGGTTACAAGGTTGCTGAAGGAACGTGAGCATGAGGGGATGCGGAAACGCAGCAGCACATACATCAGCCCGGCGGATAATGGGCAGCGCGAGGAATCGGTCCACACGCTCCTGGTGCTTTCGGTGCCATTCCGTGACAAAGGGCGCCTGCTTTCTAGTCAGACAAGTCAGGAGAAATGGCAAAGAGCGCTGACCTTGGCAGACTGGCGATGATGCCCGATGATTATGGCGAGATGCGGTCCTCGTTTTCCTTGCAAACACTGGGCGCGAATGCAAGGGTCTAGCAAGTCCTGCCCCACCAGCACTTCGTGCGCCTGTTGAATTTGCTCAACGGAGCACCGCTCCATCACCCAAGGTATTCTGGATGATCGGTACATGAACACAACGCCCTCTCGGTCGGTGTAAAAGGTGGGCTTTTCTTGTTTGATGCTGAAGGGGGGGATTAGCTCAAAGGGCCCTTTTCTGGTTTGCTGGCTTACTCAGGCTGCTTGAGGTAGTAAGACGGGTAGAAGTATTGAAGGTAGCTGTGAAAAGCCTGCCCCTTGATGGGCGTCGAGTGCCACATTTGCAGAAGCACTGCCCTGCTCCGAAGAGGCGGCGGGACGCCTTGCAAGCCGCTGGTAGCAGACGGCGCGTCTTGGGCCAGGGAGAAGGAGCCTGCTTGGATGAACTCCCCCCGCCGCCAGAGCTGACGCGCCTCCTTCTCCTTTTGGG